TCATCGATGTCAGAGCTCTAACCCATCACTGGAGATGGAACTTTGGTACCAAGAAAGTAGACCCTTCTCTCCTTCAGCCTCACTGTCATCGATGTCAGAGCTCTAACCCATCACTGGAGATGGAACTTTGGTACCAAGAAAGTAGACCCTTCTCTCCGTCAGCCTCACTGTCATCGATGTCAGAGTTCTAACCCATCACTGGAGATGGAACTTTGGTACCAAGAAAGTACACCCTTCTCTACTTCAGCCTCACTGTCATCGATGTCAGAGATCTAACCCATCACTGGAGATGGAACTTTGGTACCAAGAAAGTAGACCCTTCTCTACTTCAGCCTCACTGTCATCGATGTCAGAGCTCTAACCCATCACTGGAGATGGAACTTTGGTACCAAGAAAGTAGACCCTTCTCTCCTTCAGCCTCACTGTCATCGATGTCAGAGCTCTAACCCATCACTGGAGATGGAACTTTGGTACCAAGAAAGTAGACCCTTCTCTCCTTCAGCCTCACTGTCATCGATGTCAGAGCTCTAACCCATCACTGGAGATGGAACTTTGGTACCAAGAAAGTAGACCCTTCTCTCCTTCAGCCTCACTGTCATCGATGTCAGAGCTCTAACTTATCACTGAAGATGGAACTTTGGTACCAAGAATGTATACCCTTCTCTCCTTCAGCCTCACTGTCATCGATGTCAGAGCTCTAACCCATCACTGGAGATGGAACTTTGGTACCAAGAAAGTAGACCCTTCTCTACTTCAGCCTCACTGTCATCGATGTCAGAGCTCTAACCCATCACTGAAGATGGAACTTTGGTACCAAGAATGTATACCCTTCTCTCCTTCAGCCTCACTGTCATCGATGTCAGAGCTCTAACCCATCACTGGAGATGGAACTTTGGTACCAAGAAAGTAGACCCTTTTCTACTTCAGCCTCACTGTCATCGATGTCAGAGCTCTAACCCATCACTGGAGATGGAACTTTGGTACCAAGAAAGTAGACCCTTCTCTACTTCAGCCTCACTGTCATCGATGTCAGAGCTCAAACCCATCACTAAAGATGGAACTTTGGTACCAAGAAGGTAGACCCTTCTCTCCTTCAGCCTCACTGTCATCGATGTCAGAGCTCTAACCCATCACTGAAGATGGAACTTTGGTACCAAGAAAGTAGACCCTTCTCTACTTCAGCCTCACTGTCATCGATGTCAGAGCTCTAACCCGTCACTGGAGATGAAACTTTGCTACCAAGAAAGTAGACCCTTTTCTACTTCAGCCTCACTGTCATCGATGTCAGAGCTCTAACCCATCACTGGAGATGGAACTTTGGTACCAAGAAAGTAGACCCTTCTCTCCTTCAGCCTCACTGTCATCGATGTCAGAGCACTAACCCGTGCATGAACATGTTAACTTACCAAACGACATAGGCGCCAATCATCAGACCAGTCTACTAACAAACTTATCAACCAGCCTTTTACCAGCAAGCAACCAACCAACCTCAAAAAAAAAAAAACCCCAGCTTTTCAACCGAAAAAAACAAACGAAGAAATCAAACAACCTGGCACACTGTAAAACTAATAATCAAAAATAAACAAATATTAAGAAAAAAAAAACCACCAACTAATTAATCAATCAGACAACAAGCTAACAAACAAACCAGCCAAGAAACAATTAAAACAACACACAAAATGACCTAAAACACAAACAACTAAACAACCATTAAATTGTCTGCCAAACAAACAATAGCAAGTAACTCAAGAAACTAAAGTAGGAACGCATGAACTTTACTTTCGCAAGGTCTATCAACTAACTCACAGACAAGTCAGTAAACAAACCGACTAACTGTCAACTAACTCACGAACAATTCAGTAAACAAACCCACTAACTGTCAACTAACTCACAGACAAGTCAGTAAACAAACCCACTAACTATCAACTAACTCCCGGACAATTCAGTAAACAAACCCACTAACTGTCAACTAAGTCCCGGACAAGTCAGTAAACAAACCCACTAACTGTCAACTAACTCACAGACAAGTCAGTAAACAAACCCACTAACTATCAACTAACTCCCGGACAATTCAGTAAACAAACCCACTAACTGTCAACTAACTCCCGGACAAGTCAGTAAACAAACCCACTAACTGTCAACTAACTCACAGACAAGTCAGTAAACAAACCCACTAACTATCAACTAACTCCCGGACAATTCAGTAAACAAACCCACTAACTATCAACTAACTCCCGGACAATTCAGTAAACAAATCCACTAACTATCAACTAACTCACAGACAAGTCAGTAAACAAACCCACTAACTATCAACTAACTCCCAGACAATTCAGTAAACAAACCCACTAACTGTCAACTAACTCCCGGACAATTCAGTAAACAAACCGACTAACTGTCAACTAACTCACGAACAATTCAGTAAACAAACCCACTAACTGTCAACTAACTCACAGACAAGTCAGTAAACAAACCGACTAACTGTCAACTAACTCACGAACAATTCAGTAAACAAACCCACTAACTGTCAACTAACTCACAGACAAGTCAGTAAACAAACCGACTAACTGTCAACTAACTCACGAACAATTCAGTAAACAAACCCACTAACTGTCAACTAACTCACGAACAAGTCAGTAAACAAACCCACTAACTATCAACTAACTCACGAACAAGTCAGTAAACAAACCCACTAACTATCAACTAACTCACAGACAAGTCAGTAAACAAACCGACTAACTGTCAACTAACTCACGAACAATTCAGTAAACAAACCCACTAACTATCAACTAACTCCCGGACAATTCAGTAAACAAACCCACTAACTGTCAACTAACTCACAGACAAGTCAGTAAACAAACCCACTAACTATCAACTAACTCCCGGACAATTTAGTAAACAAACCCACTAACTATCAACTAACTCCCGGACAATTCAGTAAACAAACCCACTAACTATCAACTAACTCCCGGACAAGTCAGTAAACAAACCCACTAACTATCAACTAACTCCCCGACAAGTCAGTAAACAAACCGACTAACTATCAACTAACTCCCGGACAAGTCAGTAAACAAACCCACTAACTATCAACTAACTCCCGGACAAGTCAGTAAACAAACCCACGAACTATCAACTAACTCCCGGACAAGTCAGTAAACAAACCCACTAACTATCAACTAACTCCCGGACAAGTCAGTAAACAAACCGACTAACTATCAACTAACTCACGGACAAGTCAGTAAACAAACCCACGAACTATCAACTAACTCCCGGACAAGTCAGTAAACAAACCCACTAACTATCAACTAACTCCCGAACAAGTCAGTAAACAAACCGACTAACTATCCACCAACATTTCTACTAGTCGAAAAACAAACCAGCAAACAGACTGACAAAGCAGGAGTCTAGTCCTCGAGATCGAGAAGTGTGTGTGTGTGTGTGTGTGTGTGTGTGTGTGTGTCACTGCACGCAATCAAATACAATGTATAAGTGATTCAGAAGTTGTAAGCCAGGAGGAAAAGAGAGATACATATAGACGTCGTAAATACACAGAAACGCTACCTGAGAACAATATAACTAGAGTGTCTTTGCACTGGGACCCACTGGGGTATAGAAATAAAGGCAGAAGTCAAACAGGATAGAGAAGACATTAGATGACATGCCTGCACTAGCGAAGGATAGAACTACATGGCCTGAGATGGTGAGGGCGTATGATCCACTGGGGGATTGAAGACAGACAGACAGACAGACAGACAGACAGACAGACAGACAGACAGACAGACAGACAGACAGACAGACAGACAGACAGACAGACAGACAGACAGACAGACAGACAGACAGACAGACAGACAGACAGAAGAAGAAGAAGAAGAAGAAGAAGAAGAAGAAGAAGAAGAAGAAGAAGAAGAAGAAGAAGAAGAAGAAGAAGAAGAAGAAGAAGAAGACGGAGAAGGAGAAGAAGGAGAAGACGGAGAAGAAGGAGAAGAAGGAGAAGAAGAAGGAGAAGAAGGAGGAGAAGAAGAAGAAGAAGAAGAAGAAGAAGAAGAAGAAGAAGAAGAAGAAGAAGAAGAAGAAGAAGAAGAAGAAGAAGAAGAAGAAGAAGAAGAAGAAGAAGAAGAAGAAGGTGGAGGATAAGGAGAATGAGGGCGAGGAGGAAAAGCAGGGAAGGAGGAGAATACCGACACGACAAACCTGAGATACTGAGGCTGCTTTAGTGTGACCAGCCCTGCTCGTATCGCAGAAGACAATACTTGCAGGTGACTGTGCAGTCAGAGAAAGAAATAAAACAGCACCAAAAACATATACCCAGCAAGCCACAGCGGCAACAGATACATGAATGAATGCGCTCTAGGCAGATCGTGGCTAAGTTTCTACGCGTGGCCCGGTCAGATATATTCCAAGATTAATAGTTGCAGAACATTCCTAGATGTCACAATATACCATGTCATTGGTGGTTGCCTGTATCCCAGGCTTCTGGGCAACCCGTTCACCGCCAACTTCCTGTGTGAATCGCGTGGAAGAAGGAAAACAGAAAATTTCCTGAGCGGTTGTTTATTTTTCCCGATGTTTACAGAAAGAGAGAGCACCTATCTACAGCCCGTCTCTACTCGTCAGGGTTGTGTGTTCACAATGTCGTGTTTATTTTCCTAACAAAACTCGGTTTGCTTTTTGTCTTTCCTGTGCAAGGTTTTCACTCAACCCTCCTTTCTGACACTGAGGGGGAGGGGGCTTTTATGAATGGAGATTCGCGAAATTCTGGACTGCAATAGAACAACGAAACAAATCTACAATTATTTGAGGCAGCTGACTTTGGCACAAACGGCGCGTATGTTGAATATGTTATCTATACCATTTCAGGTAGAGGCCATCAGTCGGATCCTGGCTTCTGCCTCCTGGTTCTCAGTTCTTGCATTGCTGTATTGAAGCAGCGTTAAATAACTGACTATAATGCTACGACTATAAATACCTGCTCAAGACCAATCAAAGTGTGAATATATGTGCTTTTAGTGTCTTTTGTTTCCTGCACAGTTCTGGACAGGGAAGCTGAGGTAAGTGTTTGTTGACATGTAAACTGTTGGCGTTTAGTTGTGCATGAGAGATGTATCATTGTGTCGTTTTATTGTCTGATTTTGTTCATTACAATATACACAGGCAGTGCGTGTTGATGTGAGTGGTTTGTTTGACCATCGGTGTTCAGGGTTTATGTCGTGTTTTCTCAAGTTGTGTACGATTGTCCCAGTTCACGACTGCAAGCTAGCGACTGCTGGTTATAGTGCTCTGCCGATGTTCTCATTCCTAATTAAGCGTCCTGAGTTCTCTCCGGTGCATTTCATTTCTTCTACCCTGCCCCTGCCCCTGTCCCTGCCCCTGCTGCCCCTGCCCCAGCCCCTGCCCCTGCCCCTGTCCCTGCCCCTGTCCCTGCTGCCCCTGATGCCCCTGCCCCTGCTGTCCCTGTCCCTGCCCCTGTCCCTGCCCCTGCCCCTGCTGCCCCTGTCCCTGCCCCTGCTGCCCCTGATGCCCCTGCCCCTGCTGCCCTGCCCCTGTCCCTGCCCCTGCCCCTGCTGCCCCTGTCCCTGCCCCTGCTGCCCCTGATGCCCCTGCCCCTGCTGCCCTGCCCCTGCTGCCCCTGTCCCTGCCCCTGCTGCCCCTGTCCCTGCTGCCCCTGTCCCTGCTGCCCCTGCCCCTGTCCCTGCCCCTGTCCTTGCCCCTGCTGCCCCTGTCCCTGCCCCTGCTGCCCCTGTCCCGACTGCCCCTGTCCCGGCTGCCGCCCCTGTCACGGCTGCCCCTGTCCCTGTCCCTGTCCCTGCCCCTGTCCCTGCCCCTGCTGCCCCTGCCCCTGTCCCGGCTGCCCCTGTCCCGGCTGCCCCTGTCCCTGCTTCTCCTGCTGACCCTGTCCCTGCCCCTGCTGCCCCTGCCCCTGTCCCTGTCCCTGCCCCTGTCCCTGCCCCTGTCCCTGCCCCTGTCCCGGCTGCCCCTGTCCCTGCTTCTCCTGCTGACCCTGTCCCTGTCCCTGCTGCCCCTGTCCCTGCCCCTGCTGCCCCTGTCCCTGCTGCCCCTGTCCCTGCCCCTGTCCCTGCCCCTGTCCCTGCCCCTGCCCCTGCTGCCCCCGTCCCTGCCCCTGCTGCCCCTGCCCCTGTCCTGGCTGCCTCTGTCCTGGCTGCCCCTGTCCCGGCTGCCCCTGTCCCGGCTGCCCCTGTCCCGGCTGCCCCTGTCCCTGCCTCCACTGCTGCCCCTGTCCCTGCTGCCCCTGTCCCTGCCTCCACTGCTGCCCCTGTCCCTGCTGCCCCTGTCCCTGCTCCTGCCCCTGTCCCTACTGTCCCAGCCCCTGCCCCTGCTGTCCCTGCTCCTGCCCCTGTCCCTGTCCCTGCTGCCCCTGTCCCTGCCCCTGCTGTCCATGTTGCCCCTGTCCCTGCTGCCCCTGTCCCTGCCCCTGTCCCTGCTGCCCCTGTCCCTGCCCCTGTCCCTGCTGCCCCTGTCCCTGCCAATGTCCCTGCCCCTGCCCCTTCACTGTCCCTTCCCCTGTCCCTGCCCGCTGCTGCCCCTGCCCCTGTCCCTGCCCCTGCTGCCCCTGCCCCTGCTGCCCCTATCTCTGTCCCTGCTGCCCCTGCTGCCCCTGCCCCTATCCCTGTCCCTGTCCCTGATGCCCCTGTCACTGCCCCTGCTGCCCCTGTCCCTGTACCTGCTGCCCCTGTCCCTGCTGCCCTGCCCCTGTCCCTGCTGCCCCTGTCTCTGCTGCCTCTGTCCCTGCTGCCCCTGTCCCTGCTGCCCCTGTCCCTGCTGCCCCTTTCCCTGTCCCTGCTGCCCCTGCCCCTGCCCCTGCCTCTGTCCCTGCCCCTGCTGTCCCTGTCCCTTCTGCCCCTGTCCCTGCCCCTGCTGCCCCTGTCCCTGCCCCTGCTGCCCCTGTCCCTGCCCCTGCTGCCCCTGTCCCTGCCCCTGTCCCTGCTGCCCCTTTCCCTGCCCCTGTCCTTTCTGCCCCTGTCCCTGCCCTTTCTGCCCGTTCTGCCCCTGCTCCTACTGCCTCTGTCCCTGCCCCTGATGCCCTTTCTGCCACTGCTGCCTCTGCCCCTGCTGCCTCTGTCCCTGCCTCCACTGCTGCCCCTGTCCCTGCTGCCCCTGTCCCTGCTGCCCCTTTCCCTGCTGCCCCTGTCCCTGCTGCCCCTTTCCCTGCTGCCTCTACCCCTGCTGCCTCTGCCCCTGCTGCCTCTGTCCCTGCCTCCACTGCTGCCCCTGTCCCTGCTGCCTCTGTCCCTGTCCCTGCTGCCCCTGTCCCTGCTGCCCCTGTCCCTGCTGCCTCTGTCCCTGCTGCCTCTGTCACTGTCCCTGCTGCCTCTGTCCCTGTCCCTGCTGCCTCTGTCCCTGTCCCTGCTGCATCTGTCCCTGTTGCCTCTGTCCCTGCTGCCTCTGTCCCTGTTGCCTCTGTCCCTGTCCCTGCTGTCTAGCTTGTCCAGTCTACTGACCTCATCCCTGCAGTCTCGCTTGTCCAGCCTACTGACCTCATCCCTGCCGTCTCGCTTGTCCAGCCTACTGACCCCATACCTGCTGTCTCGCTTGTTCAACCTACTGACCCCATCCCTGCCCAGTCTCGCTTGTCCAACCTACTGACCCCATCCCTGCCCAGTCTCGCTTGTCCAACCTACTGACCCCATCCCTGCAGTCTCGCTTGTCCAGCCTACTGACCCCATCCCTGCCCAGTCCCGCTTGTTCAACCTACTGACCCCATCCCTGCAGTCTCGCTTGTCCAGCCTACTGACCCCATCCCTGCTGTCTCGCTTGTCCAGCCTACTGACCCCATCCCTGCTGTCTCGCTTGTCCAGCCTACTGACCCCATCCCTGCTGTCTCGCTTGTCCAGCCTACTGACCCCATCCCTGCTGTCTCGCTTGTCCAGTCTACTGACCCCATCCCTGCCTAGTCCCGCTTGTCCAGTCTACTGACCACATCCCTGCCTAGTTCCGCTTGTCCAGTCTACTGACCACATCCCTGCCTAGTCCCACTCGTCCAGCCTACTGACCCATCCCTGCAGTCTCGCTTGTCCAGTCTACTGACCACATCCCTGCCTAGTCCCGCTTGTCCAGTCCACTGACCACATCCCTGCCTAGTCCCGCTTGTCCAGTCTACTGACCACATCCCTGCAGTCTCGCTTGTCCAGTCTACTGACCCCATCCCTGCCCAGTCTCGCTTGTTCAGCCTACTGACCCCATCCCTGCCCAGCCCCGCTTGTCCAGCCTACTGACCCCATCTCTGCTCAGTCCCGCTTGTACAGCCTACTGACCCCATCCCTGCCCAGTCCCGCTTGTCCAGCCTACTGACCCCATCCCTGCCCAGTCCTGACATCTGGTCTGTCTACGACCCAAACAGAATCGTTATGTGGTTGAAAGGTCTCGGAACGGAACTTCATGTTTACCGTATGGGACCTCAGTATAACTGTGATATGGTTTTTGATTTATACATGTATGGTTCACCCCACGACTTCATAGTTTGGGACCTCAGTATAACTGTGATATGGTTTATGATTTATACATGTATGGTTTACCCCACGACTTCATAGTATGGGACCTCAGTATAACTGTGATATGGTTTATGATTTATGCATGTATGGTTCACCCCACGACTTCATAGTATGGGACCTCAGTATAACTGTGATATGGTTTATTATTTTTACATGTATGGTTTACCCCACGACTTCATAGTTTGGGACCTCAGTATAACTGTGATATGGTTTATGATTTATACATGTATAGTTTACCCCACGACTTCATAGTATGGGACCTCAGTATAACTGTGATATGGTTTATTATTTTTACATGTATGGTTCACCCCACGACTTTATGTTACAGTTCGGGACTTCAGAATAACATACATTTGAGCGGGCTTCTAGGACTGTTGATACTTTGTTACATTTTTACAGTATTTTGACAGATAGCGTGTTATTTTGACTAAATAAATTTAAAGAAACGAAAGAATATCTGTGAATATTAAAGTGGATGTATTTAAAAGGAGTGAAGAAATCAGGGAAAGGTCTGGGTAACTACTAGTGTCAACAAGTATAAGACAGAGAAGGTAGCGCTGCATTGGATACATCATGAAAAAAAAAAAAAAAACCATCAGAAAGTCAAGAAACAGACATTACAATGGGAAATAGAGGCGTGAAGGAGGCGAGGTCACCTCATGAACTCTAAGATAAACGTTGACGAGAGAGGCTAAAGCTGCGAGCACTGTGTGACAGATAATAAATATATGCATATATCTGCGTGCGTGTGTTTGTGTGTTTGTTTGTGTTAATACATATATATATATATATGTATATATATATATATACACAGTCTATTACTGTTGAGGTCTTGTTCAGTTGTTCTGATTTGTAAATTAATTATGGTTAGATGGACTACACGATAGTGTATTTCTCTATGAAAGTAGGACATAGACACGTTCGAGCCCACGCACGCGCGTGCGCGCGCGCACACACACACACACATATAACCCACACATACACACGTAGACCCATTCTTGCTTGTGTCTGCAGACGTTATCGTCAACCTTTGACCTCACTGACTGTAAATTCGACAGTCTCCTTCCCACCCTCCCCTGCCGTCTCCTGGGTCAGCTAAAGATATGAGAGAGGAGGAAGTTGGTCTCCGGGACAGGAGGAGGGAGTAGGTGGGGAGAGACGGAGCGGACGAGAGATAGAGAAAGACAGAGGGTGGGTCGAGAGAGGGAATGCAGAAAAACAAGCTACTGAAGGGGTGGGCCGCTATGTTCAGCCATCTCTAACACACACAGGTAGAGAGAATACTTTCACAAGCCCTCGGAGGAAAGCACGCGTCGCCAAGTTCAGATAATTAATTATGACAATATGGCACTCGACACATTATCTCCCCTGAATTCCTCTCTGCAGCGGTTCCCACGCTGGCAGGCTGGGCACCTGGTAAATAGTTAGGTAAAGGTAACGTTGTCCGACCCAGGCACACCGTGAATGGGGATTTCGTTTATGCTTGCTAACCTTTTACACGCGCGGGTCTAAGGTACGGGCCAGTCAAGTTGTGGTCTGTTGTGTAAACAAGGTCCGACAATTAAGTAATGAGACAAAATTGCCATCTATAAATCACAGCATGGAATCCAAAGAGGTAACCTTCGTCTGTGATCTGGCAACTTTTCATCGCCGCCCGAAAAGCAGACAACGAACAATCTGCCATTTTCTTAACCTAGTCAGAGGTGTATTGTTACGTAATCAGCAAAGAGCCAAAAAAAAAAAATCTTATTTTAAATTCGGTTCGAAGCTCAGAAAAAACGACATTATAACAGTTGAAATGATGCGACAAGTTTATGGGGACAAGTATTTATCTTGCGCACAGATTTTCCGCTGGTATTCACGATTCAAAAATGGTGTGGAGATGATTACTAATGCAACTAGACCTGGACGCCCAATTTCTGCTCGTAATGAGGAACTCAGGGCGAAATTCCGAGAACTGATACAAGAAGATCGTTGTTCGACTGTGAGGATGGTGGTAGATGAATTTGGCGTTAAAACAGAGACTATTCGTACATATTTTAGTGGAAGATTTGTAAAAGAAAAAAGTTGCTTTCCGGTTGGTATTCAACACTTGGCAATTTGTTTCTTCTTCGTGACAATGCACTGGCTCAAAGGGCGGTAGCTGTACAGGAATTTTTGGCCCGAAAACAGATGCGTGTTCTCAAACATCTACCCTATTTCCCCAGATTTGTTTCCCTGTGACTATTTTGTGTTTCAAAAATTAAAGTTGCCATTGAAAGGACGCTTCTTTGACAATATAAATGACATTCAAGGGGCCGTGACATAACTTTAAGGGCCAAAGCGACTGAAGAACTTCTGAGATCGTTCCAGTGTTTGTTAGATCGTGCCACTTGCTGTATCAATGCACACAAAAATACAGTTTATATCTTCAACGATTGGTCTATAAAAATATAGGTCTAGTCCTATATGCCTTATACGCTTGAGCATGGAAAAGGGTCCTTCACTTTTTTTAAAAATATCTTCAACTTTAGATTATTTCAATTTCTATAGAGTTAGTCTCATTATTTAGTTGTCGGACCTTGTATATTGCGCTTCGTGTGATTGGTCAGATAAACTTTGTGTTTTACTCGTAGTTCTGAGTGGCCAGCGACATTGCGTATAGTCTAGTACCACATGAATTTTCTTCAGTTGTCAGCGTTGACGACCGACAAGGAGAGGGGCGTTCCTTC